AACCTTAACTTCGACTCCTCCTATGTTCATCTGATTAATTTCGTTGCGGGTCCAATGACAGTTTAACTTTCCCCCGGGACAAATTTGACCTTCACTGGTTGGGTTTTTATTGGCGGTCAAGCTGTAGATCCTGGCTACACAGGAGTTGCAGCGGTGGGAACGAGAAGTGGGAATAGTCCCGTCAGTCGTGGGTTTGCAAGACCGCACACCAACTCTAATTTATTGTCGTTTTTATCACAACTCAGTTGTCATACAATTTTCCGTGCGCTGTTTGCGTAGTTTCGGGAAATTAAAAAAAAATGGGTAAGAGGATTTTCGTATGCAAAGGTACATGAAAATGGAGATGGGCTGGCATGTACAAAACACATTATCTAACGTATCGGTGTTATCATACTAAAATGAGAGTATGGCATAAACCGACTATGGCGGTGATTAGCCCATGAACTCGGGCTAAACACGCGACCGGTATTACGAGAGCTTCTGTAATTAATTACACATAGGTACCATGGTCTTCTACTACGAGTAGTAACCGATTTTGTTTATTTAGGTACTTTATTTCGATAAAACGCGATCTGATTTTTTTTATCAGCTTGCAAAATAAGAGTACAAAAGGCGGACTTCATGATATAATAATAAGGCATTCTCTTCCAGTTAACTTATAGGCCAATTTTGTTTTATCTTTTATTTATATTCGGAAAATGAAAATAGAGCAACGCGAACGCCACAATGATAATATATAACTAACTCTAGACAAAAATTATAAAGTTTTTCCTCATTTATCTTCTACTTCAATGGGGATTATGTCTGTTTTCATTTATAGCGAAAAGAATTCAAGTTTACTCCAAGATGCTGTTCGCGAAGACCACCACCACGGATTCAAAAATCATTCTACCAAGTCTCCTGTCTGTCCTCAAAAAGTTTATGATCCAACTATCTCCGAGGACCCAGATGCCACTTTCCAATTAAAATTAACTCACATTCTCCACTCGGCTTTAATTACATCCAAGTGAAAGCTTATTTTACAGCCTAATAGAATAACTTGAATGCCCGACTCAAGTTTTAATTAAATAGAAAAGCGGCCATACGATGCGGGGTAAAATTTTTACGCCCATTTCAACTTAAGAGAAAACCTGCATTTCGTGAAAATTTTATTGAGACTCGCTAGTCTAGTGTTAGAGTTTTATGAGCAAATGGACAAAGCAAAAAGTGATATTATATGCATAGTCGACAGAATAACAAATTTTTGTTGCATAATAGCACTTATGATAAGGTCGCAACAGGCTCAGTATGTATCGTCATCAATCATCAAATCTTACATCAATTTTGTCAGCGACTAGCTGAGGTGAGTGTTGGCAACCTCAACATGATATTTTTGTTTATAGGCTGGCAAATATTTCCTGCTTTTGTATCCCGACATTAGAATAATACACATTGAAATCTCATGGACCTCCTCTACATATTTATTTAACTGAATTGTATTGGAAATAGTCCCGTAGTATGCAGTCCTCATACTAAACATTTAACATGGTCCTTCGAGCCGGATATGAACCAGCGACCTACGTGATATTTACTTCAGTACATAATGATAGAGACTTGTTCCAAACAAAAGAACTCGCAATGATGATCGACACAGACACCTCAATTAGTCGGCCGACTGAGACTGCATTTATCTAAATAAATGGATCGGACGTTTACGCCGGATTATTCAATTACAATGGCCGGCTGAAATCCCTTTTGGAGTCGTATTGTTTAATTGTTTGCTCAGATAACTTTGTGGACCCTAATTTTTTGATAAGAATCCACTCAAAAACAGAACTTTAGCTTTTAAGGACTCTCCGTGCTTAATTTGGTTACGCTGCGTCAAAAACAAACGTTTTCTTAAAGTTTAAGAGATGAAACAATCCATTTCTTTTAAGTATTTTAATTTTTATGTAATACCAACTTTTTAGTCAATATAAAAGGTGAGTATCTATATGATAACTAATTCTTATTGGCGTCGCCATAATCGGGTGGAGTCTCAATAGTATCTTGTAAAATCCTTTAGCACTATAAAATGTCTTTGAGAATCATTGAAAACCTTTGAAGGAATAATCTAACGTCGACAATTGAAATTTGCTTTTGTCTCTAAGAAATCCATAAAAAGCAATTGAAAAGCACTCGTGTTTTGATTTCTAATTTATGAAATTAAGAATTGCTTGTGAAAGGAGTTGAATGAAAGTTATTAATTATAACGAGACTAGCGTATTATTATGCTCAAAATAACACTTGTATTTGGTCTAAAATGCAGGCTTTTCTTCTGCACACCAGTAGAATCCATCGTTTCTATTGTTAGGTAAAATATTACATTCTACATTGTACTGCAGCATTTACTACGGACTGAAGAAAAAATGTACAAGTTTGTGTTTAGTCAGCCCACTTCAGTCGTAAAACGTCGTCGTTTGAATCGTATAGCATTATTACTTTTTAATACCACCTCTGTCCAGTTTTATGGCTTTTCCAATGATAACTTGACGCTATAAAACGCGATGAAATGTAAATACAAAATACCAGAAGAGCTTTGAAAGATAGTATATTTCTACATACATCATAACTATGTATAAGTAAACTTTACATAAAGACATTGACACAAGTGGATGAAAACATGTACTTAATGTTATTATAATAATCTAATTTAAATGCGAATGTCTGTTTGGTACGTATATTCCTCATAACCATTTTAATGAATAACCTGGGAGGAGGTACACCACCTTTTTTCGCCAAAATCATGAAAGGTTCGGATGGCACACCCCTTGAGGGAAAGGGGGGCCATGTTATGTGTTGTAAATGAAAATTCATAAGGCAGGTCGTTGGATAATGACTTTCTGTAGCAGGCAGGTTTAAATAATATTTAAACAAGCGTTGGTCGCACCGCAAGAATGTTTGCAAGAAAGAAAGAATGAAAGAAACTTATGTACGAGGTGTGGCTATTAAATAACGAGACTGACGCTGTAAAACATTTTATTTTGATTTTATCCTTTTTTACTTAATATCACCTTCAATATACACCCCTCCTCTATCCCTACAACGCTCCATGCGAATCTTCCATTGTTCGAAACAGTGCTGGAAGTCTTTTTCTGTCAGCTCCTTCAGGACGCGTGCCGCTTTCTCTTTCACAGCTTCAACAGTCTCAAATCTTGTTCCTTTTAATGCAGATTTCACCTTAGAAAACAGATAGAAGTCGCACGGCGCAAGATCCGGCGAATAAGGCATTCAAAGTGTCAGTACAAACATTTTTGTGAGCTTCTTGTTGTTCAAAAGTAAGAATTTTAGGCACCATTTTGGCACACACTTTTTGCATGTGTAAAATTGTTATGTAATATTTGCCGTACGGATTTTTTATCAATTCGTACAGTTTCAGCAGTCGCACGAGTACTTAACCGACGGTCAGTTCGAATTAGATTACCGATTTTTTCGATATTGTTATCAGTTTTTGACGTGGAAGGGCGACCCGGGCGTGAATCATCTTGAACGTCTTCTTGGCCATTTTAAAAAGGCTTAAACCACTCAAAAACACGTGCAAGCGATAAACATTCATTGTCATTCAATAAATTATAAGTTTCAGTAGCGGTTTTTTCAAGTTTCATATGAAATTTCACAAAAATTCGTTGCTAGATACTGTTACACTTAACATTTTTCCGGCGAAACAAAAAAACAACTCTAATGCGAACGAAGGCTACGGCTATACTGATTTGTTTACAGAAGCGAGAGGCACTTAATTCGAAAGAGAAGGCTTCTTGCTAACAGTTGTTAGTTGCTGGCGTTCGGCGCATGAGCACTTCTCCTGTAGCAGCGTCAGTCTCGTTATTTAATAGCCACACCTCGTATGTAGTTCAAAATACATAATTTGCAGAATACAGATAATGTGCACGAATTTGGTAATTTCTGAACTAAAATGGCACCCACTCAGCATGTGTTATGCTCTGGGGTAGAACTCAGAACAACAAGCAATTAATACATTATTGTCACTTACTAATCATGCAAAGATGATGTATTACTATTATTATAAATAATAATATTATTATTATTATAAATAATATTCTATTCTATTCTATTCTATTACTATGTTAGGCAGGATAGACAACGAACACTGTTTTTCATAAAGCTTTCGATCAATGAATTATTTTTGATCAAAGCCTACAAAAGTTATTTTAACCCACACAAAATGTCTTGTACAAAACGATGCTACATCAGTATACAGTAATAGATCAAATAAATAATAAATACAAGATACCAATAAACGCTTATATCTCGCGCAGACAGTTTATTTTCTATTCTTAGACCAAGCCTCGCAATACCGAGTAATCGCTCTGTAACCAACGGTGACGGTTTTCCACGAAAACGTCTATCGTGAAGTATCTTTACTGTTTCAATTTGAGAGGACCTTATTGAGCGTGAGGGCTTAGTTGAGGCTATCGTCCTCACAGTTCACTTCAGTAAATAAAACGCAAATAACCAATCTTCCTCCTGATGATTCTGTTTTGGTAAAACCTATTTTAAGAAATTGGAGATCTTAAAACCCCATGAACAGGTTTCAAGCGTATACCTTCTTTGTGCAATTTATCAGGTTATTGGGAGCGTGAAAACAAGGTGGAAATATTACTTTCTGCTTTTATTTATTTAAATTGTTGTCCCTCGTTCACTCAGGCTATGGTCTCCTATTAAACGCGTGACGTACGAAGTTAGCCTCAAACGTTCCTATCGACGTGCATAGTGTCAATTGTCAATACCCAATACGCTAACGTCAACGTCTGAGGGAGACACAACAGTACATTTCTATAGTAAACATTGTGACGCGGCCTGCGGCGTTTATAGGAGACCTTAGCTAGTACTGAGAAGAAGCGTCGCTAAAACTAGACTAACTCAGTCACCATTGTCTGTCCGGTTTGAAAGTAAATAAAGTTTTTGTTTAAAGATTTAATTGCCAAAATCCAAGTGTTAATCGAATTTCTCTCTTGTTACAGTGTATGAAAGCGTACGTGGAGTTCGAGGTCTGCAATGGGGCTTACGAGGTGTCGTGCCCGGACGCGCGCTGCCGCGTCGGAGCGGCGCTTGCGCTGGACGAGATCGGCTTCCTGGTGGAGCCCGCCGTCATGGAGAAACACCTCAAGTTCCGCCTCAACCATGGTATGTAGCTAGCTGCCTCCAACGCACTGTCTGACCCAAGTCTCGCCGTAATACCCGTACGAGGTGTCGTGCCCGGACGCGCGCTGCCGCGTCGGAGCTGCCCTTGCGTTGGACGAGATCGGCTTCCTGGTGGAGCCCGCCGTCATGGAGAAGCACCTCAAGTTCCGTCTCAACCATGGTATGTAGCTAGCTGCCTCCAACGCACTGTCTGACCCAAGTCTCGCCGTAACAACCGTACGAGGTCACGTCGCGCGCGGAGCTGGCGCTGTACAAGATCGCCTTCCTGGTGGAGCCCGCCGTCATGGAGAAGCACCTCAAGTTCCGCCTCAACCATGGTCTGTTGCTAGCTATCATCATCTTACCTAAGTCTCGTCATAACAACCTTATGAGGTCACGTCGCGCGTGGAGCTGGCGCTGGACGAAGATCGCCTTCCTGGTGGAGCCCGCCGTCATGGAGAAGCACCTCAAGTTCCGCCTCAACCATGGTATGTCCCTCATAGACAGTAAGCTATCCCTCGACCTTGACCCTTGACTTTCATTGCTTGAGTTTTTATTGGCGGTCAAGCTGTATATCTTGGCTACACAGGAATAGTCTTGTTTAAGCTGTCCCTCGGGAATACTCAACCTTCACTGGTTGGGTTTCATTGGATTCTAAACTGTAGATCCTGGTTTTGCAGGAATTGCAGTGGTGGGAAAAGAGAGGTAAAAACTACCGCCATCTTATATAAGTATGTCACCCTAACAACAATGCTAACAGCATTGTTACTCTGTCCTCCAGCAGCCCGTTCCTCCGTGGTTAATGATTGTGAGTGAAGCTCGCGTCCAAACTCCAACTACAGTCACATCATCACTTTTCATCGGTGCAATGAAGGCAGCCCATAAGATAGACGAATATTTCCTTCCATTAATCTTTCCACTACATAAACTCCTTGTTCAGTACGTATTGGTGGAAATAGTACAGTAACGAATAAAGCACTCTGTAGAGCAGTTGTCTCACTTGGCACGGCCATCATGGTTCTGATTTGGCATGAATACCAGATGAAGATGATGTCTATATTTAGACGATCTAAACGCATTCGACCCGATTGTTGAATTCTAATCGCCTGTTTAGACCGCTGCTGAATAGTAATGCATTTTGTACCGTTAGAATCTTGTGGGCTGTCTGCATCTCACAGATGAAATGATTGAACTGAAGTTGGAAGCGAGCTTTACCTGGAATTATTAACCACAGAGAAACCACAATAATCGTCTGAAGTTCTTGAATCAAAAACCGTTTATGATTTTAACCTTTGCTTGTGCCCTTCGAAGCACATAATTAGCGTTCGAATTTTGCTTATTACGAGAAATTTTGCGACTAGGTTCTCTGTTCTACCTTTTATGATAATAAAATTCTTAGTATTCGCACAAACACAGTATCGAAAGCCTTGGGGCTGGGAGTCGACAACTGTCGCCAATCAGGTATCGATCGAAGGAAATATATCGAGAATGTTTTCCCAGGAGGTTGCCGTGTCTGTCAGTTTGTCTTGTGACATTTGCGTTAACATTAATAGACTAAATTGCCCTTAATGTTATACTTCAATATCCATGCATGCGATAAAATTTTCAAGCCTCAGTGAGCATTTAGAGCAATTAAATAAACTGTTTAAAAACCTACTGTAGAGTTTATATAGTAGAATAGATAAACATGGTGAGAAAGCATTAATATTCTTAATGTACTTAGGTTTAGGCTTAGAATGAAAAGGATAGATCTACCAAATGTAGCGCCATTGGGTTTCTTGATGATATTTTGAAATTGTTGACGGTTTATTTACACAAAAACAACAAGTTTCATAAGTTAATTGGCTTACAACCTTCAATTCCATTGTTATTTGTTTCAGTTTCAATGTTTGAGTTTGACTCGCAAACAAAGTTATATGGTTTCGCTTTCATGGTGCTGGCTAAAGTTTTTATTTCGCCATGTTGTTACAAGTTGGATTTGTGACTGACGTAATCCCACCCCTTTGGGGGGGAATCAATATGGCAGTGTCGCCCTGCTACATACTAATTTGATCCGCACAGTCAGCTTCTATAAACTGCCACTGCGTTCCATTGGGAACATGCACACTGACTATCAAGTGAGTTTATTCTCATGTGAAGGTTGCCTTCAAGGATTTCTATAATAAAGTATTGAATTGAAATCATCAAAGGCTGTCCTTGCTTCAGTGATCTTCAGAATCAAATTCTGTTCACGTTGCTATAATGAACTCGAAGACACACGAACGTATTGGTGTTAAAGTTGATATTTTCGATTTCAAAGAAGCTTGAGAACACGCAAATAGATCACGTCAAGGAGTCTTTAAATCCGCTAGCCGGTCCATCCAGTTTCGCAAACTTGTGTTTTTGTTAAGTATGTAAGATAGAGACAACACCATCTTTCTATCTATGTTAGGTCCGATTCGACCAAACTTTTATCTGAGAATAACTCCTAGTATAACTCGCACATTGACAGTTTAATTATGGAAAATATGTCAAAATGTCGAATAACTGACGATTTATTCTGCGATTAGAGTAGGCGCACACCGTTGATTTTTCGTCGGCCGATAGTTTAGTCGGGCTGTTGATCAGTATGGACATGTATGGGAGTGCGCACACTACACCGATTCGATTAGGCCGATTCTTCATACAATTTGAAATCGGGCACAACTATCGGCCAACTAAAAATCAACGGTGTGCGCCTACTCTTAATATTTACTCTTGTTTGGTCGCATCCACCCTTAGTCGAAAGCGTCTGACTTCTATGTGTGATTTTCAGCAACCAAAATCGATGTTACTATCGTAGACTATACCACCATCGTTTGGTTATGCACAATTTGCATGTTGCGCTCTGTTTCGTTTCGGAGTATTCGTTCAGCGTTCGCTCCGCAAACAGCAATGTGATTGAAAATTGTAATCGCATGCCATCGATCTACCTATAGGTAGAAAATTGCTGCATTTATGCTCGATTTTTTTGTGAACGAGTACAGCGGACAAACTCAGTTCATCCCTGTGGTTTTCTAACTAGAGAATTGGGATCACAATTTACCTTATGCTCGAAAATTGCGGTGTTCGAGCTCAATATTTTTGGTAGTGGGTATTACAGCGTTTAAACTCAGTACAGAAAATTGGGATCACAATCTCAAGTTTTCTTTTGATTCTCAGATGTGCCACTAAAAAGGCTGAAAAATGCCTGGAATAGAAAAATTCAATTTATTGCTCTAATTTTGAGTCCATTGTGACTGGTGTATCCCAGAAGAATTGCATCAAAAGTTCAGACCACTTACCAAGAAAACTTTCCACTGACACATTTTCCTTGTTCCATTGTTAAGAGCTCTACTTTCACTTAACAATGCTTAACAGACACCAGCGCAGTTAATCCGTCACACGGACGAGTGTCTCCCGAACCCTCCCTTTGTACTTCCTCATTCACACGGAACCGTGCGTGTAATTGCGAGCATTCAAGGGGTCTGTTTACTCTTGGGGTATGTGTCCTCGAGACTTAACCTTGCGAAAGGGTCTCCGATTCAACAGAACTTGATGGAGGTGAAGTGGCAATGACAATACCTACTGTCATGGCGGTGGCATAAGATTTTTGTGTTTATTTGTGTAAAAAATCTAATTTGATAAGCATTACCTATGCCTATTGCCTATGTTACACTTGATAGTCGTTGTGATTTTATGTAATGGAGGATGTCGTTCCTTTCAAGGATGTCCACTGTTGGACAAAGGCCTCTCAACGATTTCCACATCGATCGGTCTTGCGCTGTCCGCTTTCAAGTGCTTAACGCACCTATTTATCATTAGGGCCAGTAACTACAAATTGTATTGTGTCACCTACAGTTTCCTACTTCCATTGTTGACCCGAATCCGGAACTTTCTCTAAACAGGTGATACCAACACCGCTGTTTAGAGCTAATCCATCACAAAAGCGTGTCTCCTGTGAACTACCTTTGTTGTTCCTCATTCACACGGAACCGTGCCGTGAAATTGCGGGTTTTACAATAGTCTTTGTTTACTTAAGTCGCGCGGACCGGGATATGCCCTCGGATATTGAAACTTTCTGTAAGGTATGCTAGTTGAGCAGATTTGGGAATTGTCTATACCTACTATAAGATATAAATTGTGTAATGTAGGCCACATAACATTCCTAGGAGGTCCTGTAGCTGATATTGATAATGATATAATAATTTAAGTACATATGTATGTAAATCTAGTTATTGTTTATGAATATTATAATCTTCATGGTATCATTCTGCAAAGATTGCAAATAAATAGACGAAAAATCTAATTTACCAAGTTCAGAAATTCAAATTCAAATATTTTATTCAGTACATCTTGCCCTACCACCACTTCGGGACAACATATGGGCTGGTGCTGAGAAGAAGTGGCGGAAGAAACTCAGTCACCTTTGTCAGCCTCATTTTCAATAAAATCAGGTCTTTTAAGTTTCTGAATATGTGATGATGATTAATAAAGAATTTATTATTTAAAAAATCTCAGTTGACTGTGTCTCAAACTTCAGACATTTATTATGACGTGTACTAAAGCTACTTTTACCTACTAGGCATCGCTTTAGAAAATTATCGTGATATCGAGAACAAAAACAGTAACACACGACTTCTGTATATTTCAACCGTAACGAACAATGTTGCAGGTGTCTGACACTCGCTGACATTCCACACGTCTCCTGAACTCGGCCTCCTTTGTGTCGTCCGCAGGGAGCGGTGCCGTGAAATCATTTACATACGCTTTCCTATTGAAACAGTTGCTATACGGTTGGAAATATCACGCTGTTTCTGAGCTTGAAAGGCTCAGTTACACATGCTAATAAAATGACATGCTTATTGGCATGCTTAAAACAAGCGTGCTCGAATAACTTGAAATGAGCATGCTTTACAAACATACAAGCTACTAAGTAGCAATTGCTCAGCTCAATAGTGGCATACTTTCGTGTACTGTACTGTACTGTACCTTTACTCCCAAAAACGTTATCCGAAGTTTCGAATAGGTATGGCCACAACCTCTCGTGCAAAGGTAGATTCCAGAATATGCAACGGTGACAGAGAGACCCGAAATGCCCGAAACTACGTAAACAGTGTTTCGTACTTTTCGTAGTAGCCCTGCAGCATTTAAATAGCATTTGTTATACCGCAACGCTTAAGATTGATTTAAATAGAACTGTGCCAATTCGAAGTGGGTAGGTATTAGGCACCCACTTTAAATTTTCAGTTATCACCTTCAAAATTGGGTGCTGAAGTGGAAAAACGTCGCAGAAATAAACAAAACAACATTTTGTATAATGTATATTGATGCCCCTTTGTTCGGCTCGCTTTGATCTCTCTTCGTCAACAAACGACAATAACTGCGTATTTTTACAAATCATCCTTTATCACTCAGAAAATAGCGATGCCCAAATGTTTTTACATCTTTATATCGATAAAATCGATTGAGTAATTTAACTTTGTAAAGTGATGGAACCGGTTTAGTTTTTAGCGATCCATTTGCAACCGGTTTCACGATGTGTTAGGAAGCGAATCGGCTACACAAAAACGTAAGGCATCGCGGCCTTTGTCTTCGCTTCCGTTTCCTCGTCAGAACAAGGGTACGTTCACACGGAAACTGTCGGTAGTCTTTTAAGAAAGCTTACGTCGTAAAAAAAGGGAGACGACTCTTCTGGTGTTGTCACTTTTCATCAATTCATTAATTTCATTTTTTTCATTTGGCTTTTTGGCTTTAAAAAGATTTTTTGCTTATGAACGATTTGCGACGATGCTTATAAATTATTATGTTACTGAAATTAAATAATTTGAATATTAGATCCATTGTTTCTTTGTCAAAATTTAGGAAATTTTAAACTGAAAGTAGTTAATGCGTTAATTGTGAGCTTTTAATTATTCCATTGTTGGAGTTTTCTTCATCGTAAAAGTAAAACTTCTCTACTGTGAGAATTTGCATTGGCTTAAGCTAAACTATAAAATTGCCATAACAAATCAAAATAACATGTAAATCTTACAAGTATACATTTGATAGGCAATAAAATGAAGCTTGCGAATCCGAAAACTGAAAAAGAGCCTTTTTTGCAAACGTATTTTCGTTTCCCAATCTTACATCAGCTGGTTTACATCCATACATTATAGTTGTTGCTAACGAAGTTACTCGAACAATTAAGCGTTTCCTTACATGCGCGCGCACATCCTTGCAGGAGCAACGCTCGGCCCTGACTGCGGCCGCTTTAGTGCAGTTGCGTTTGTTTTGTTTGTTAATTTGACCGTGTGGTTATAATACGGATGACTGACATATCAAGTTCTACACTACTGAATCTTATGTAGTTGTATGCCACAAAAGTCTGATGTATAATGCAAAATATTTATGCTATCTTTGTTGAAGAACCTACGCTGCTGGTGACGAATAGGCTTGATGACCGCTTGAGGATAGATAGACCTTCCCCTTTGAACAGTGACTTGCCAGAGATAGGGCTAGCGCTCTTATGGAGTTAAGTTATTAGAAAGTTCTTGAGGGGCGAAGACGTAACGTGGGCAGGCCTTTCACAAGGTGGACCGACGATCTGGAGAAGGTCGCGGGAGGTGCCTGGATGAGAGCGGCGCAGAACTGGTTTTTGTGGAAATCCTTGGGGGATGCCTTGGTCCAGCAGTGGACGACTTTCGGCTGAAAGAAACGAACGATTAGCTAATCGCACGGTAGCAACAGTAACAGTCTCACAAATAACTACGATCGGATTAGTACGATCTTTTGATAGGTACGATTTTGTAGTAAATTATTTTATATGCCCCATAAAAAAACCGTTCTAGGATTTTAAAAAAACCTGTATCTTTTCGTTGCAGAGGTGGCGATGGACTCCGGGCGCGCGTTCTGCCCACGCGTGGGCTGCGACACGGTGGTGTCGGTCCGGGCGGCGAGCCCGGCCCACTGCCCCACCTGCCGGCACGACTTCTGCTCACAGTGCAACCAGGAGGTGAGTTCATCATCATCATCACCATCGTTTCAGCCACAGGACATCCACTGAACATTGGCCTCCCCCAATGATATCGTCCGGTTGGTAGCGACCTGCATCCAGCGCCTTTCTGCTACCTTTATTAGGTCGTCGGCCCACCTTGTATATTAGATCTAATCTGAACTTAAGCGCACTCTTGAACTCATATAAGCCCGGTACGTGAACCACTCTTAGGCCAGATGGCTTCCCTACATTATGTATTAGAAAATCTAGTGCCTAAAAAGATGATATAAATGTACTAACAATGTTAAAAACATAATAAAAAAAAAGAAATATGTAGCAGCCTTTTTAATTACATCACGGATATCGATTCCTGTTTACTTTAATATCCATATGCTAATTAAAATGCAAATTAATGGCCTTTCGATACTGCTATAAACAAAGCTGCTTATATCGGCTTATGTAAATGAATACAAATATACAAAGCAGCTACAGTTGTATTCTTATTCCTGACTGTTATTAGGTAATGTAGAACTAATAAGGTAAGTTTTAAGACCCGGTGGACGGATGACTGGATGATTCTTAGCAGGGAGACGTCGCGTTGGTCCTGCTAAGGGTTTTTGCCGCAAGTTCCCGTAGCCAAAAGCACTTTGTTTCTTGCCATAAACATAAATATGAATTTTCATACCCATAACATGATAAATTATGAGTTCCTTATTACAAACATCCCCTTCTTTTTGCGTCGAAAAGTAGGATGATATTTCCCCAGGTGTAATCTATATTGCATCTCCTTACCGAAAATCATCTAAACTAGGTCAATGGCTTAGGGCTGAAAATGTAACAAAAGAGAATGGCAATATTACTTCACATTTACGCGGGTTGCAGACCAAGAGCTTTTTTAAAAAACGTCGGGAAAGGCTTTACGCATACCCAGTAGTCGATGGGGACGGCAAGTGGGTTATGTGGGATTCTCCACGCCTGGTCACTAAAGGCGGGGCCTACCCACTAAAACCCGACGGTGTCCACCAGAGCCCAAAGAAACAGAGCCGCGAGTTATTGTCCTAAGCTAAGTTACTTTAGCTTAGTTCGCATGGATGACGTAGCTATCCTGTTTGTATAGTTTTCAGTTTGCACACAAATATAGAAAACTGCGTTAGCTATGTGACCTTAAGGTATTTTTGTTAGGAAAATTACATGAATTTGTACTTTGTAGACCCACCAGCCGCGGGGGCAGCTAATGGGTTATGTGAAGTTCTCCCTGAAAGAAGGACACACTAAAAACCTGACGTTGCCCTCTGTAAGCCATATATGAGTCGGAAACGCGGGACACCACTATCAGCGTTTTTCCTCAGGCATTCGTCCCCGAATATGACCTAATGAGCTAAACTAACTTAGCTCATGTTCTGCAACAAGATTTACAATAGTACGAGTAGTATAGATGGAAGTAGAATAACGTCAGTTAATCCAATTTCATTCGCAGGACAGATCCACCAATCTAGCGTTTCCTTTTGTACCGTGAAACAAAGGCCCTTCAGCCGACTCCATTAAACTCGGCGACAATGCTCTGTCCGTCTGTGAGGCTGTGGTTCCTTTGTCATAACTTTTAACTTTCAAAGGCTTAGATAAAGCGATGCCGTATACTTGGTCACCAGGAGATTAGTATTGCAGCGACCAATCTGTTTTCGGTCATTTTGCCATAAATTAGTCCACATCTGTAGCTTACGCTCGTATTCACAAACATTACTATGAGTTCTCACAGTGCGCGTGGACGCACAGGGTCACACACGAACCAATCACGAGAGCTCTATTCAACGCTGTGTGTTCGATTTTCTGCTTCACTTAGCAAGCATCGTTTGTGAATACGGTACGGTAACACTGGCATGTGCGAAACATTGTGCCCAAAGTGGCGAAAAACAAGTTAATTTTTAGATTCTTTCTTCATTTGGAAGTTCTTGGTTTGGCTCCCAGAGAACACACATAATGTAAAATCATCAATTTGTAAGAACATTATAGGTTGATTCAAAAACCATGTTATCCGAAATAGAAATATTATTAGGGTCAGGGAGGCAACAGTGACTCACTTTTTTTTCGAAGCTTAATAAAAATAGATATCGCTTTAATATTGGCCTAAAATTTGCTCACATTTTAGATACACTATTGAACTGTAACTGAGCACTCATGATTCTACATTATTTACTACTTATGTCAAATTAGGAACCTAAAACAAAAAAATGATAATTGAGCCACTGTGGACTACTAGGTGTACACACTGACTCACTACCGTGGTAAACAGTATTAACGTGGTAAGGAAGTATTTATATGAAAAGAAAATGCCCATTCCGCGTAGTTTTTTATTAGAAATAATAACAAAACTGCACAAGCTATTCTTATTATAATCAACAATTCAACACGACTCTTAGTACTTTTATTGCTACCTATAAGATCTTAAGTCATCTCAATCTCTTCGTTATTTATTTCTTCCCTATTTTTCTGTCGGTTTTTTTCCGTGGCATTCTGTAAATAAAAAACAAAATTCGATTTACAGTTATAAAATATTGAATTCGTATAAAGTATTAAAATTGAGTCACTGTGTACTTCTACGCCATTTTGTAAATATTTGATCAAAAAAACCAAGATGTAAAACAAATTAGTCAAAATTCGGATTAAAGACAATTGATACAAGACCTACTATCCGATAAATATAACGGCTATTACCTATAGCAACAAACAAAGATATGAAAACAATCGAAACTCACCTTAGAATGTAATTTAGAGGGCGCGAAAACAAAAAACATTCCCTCACCCTTCCGCACGGCACTTGACCGGCGAGCAAACTGGTTTAAACGTGTTCGGGTACAAAGACCTTTGAATCGGTAAAAGAGACAAATATATATTCCTATGCCTTCAGGTCGAAACATGACTGAGCCACTGTAGCCGACCGAGTCACTGTTGCCTCCTTGACCCTACGTGTTTCAAAAAAGCCATGTCATGTCAGACGCATATTTTATGTGGCACTGGTTTTATAATTGACCTTTGTCTTTGTGGACTTATTGAAACTTGCCAGTAATGCCCCAGTTTTTCGTTTGCCCCTAAACCCCGGCCGGCATATTTTAAGAAACCTTTACATATTTTTACCGGCTATTTTTATTCCATTACGCAGGTTTTATAGAATTGAACCCTTAACCTTTGGTATTGATATTCCAAACAGCTCTCAGAGTTAAAAGTAAACCGGTTCTCACAAAAAGTTAAATTATAACTACGAATAACGGGTGAAATTTTCATTTTATCTTCAAATTCTACGCTTGGCGCGGATGTTGTCTCAACCCGGATAAAAATACATTCGCATTGCTATGCAAAATACAATGTTTAAAATTTCCACTGGAACTTTTGGAGCTAAAGCTATTTATAACCTTTTTTGTTATTACTTATTTAAGTGAGCATTGTTATGGAAACGTTTGCGCATTGTTGTTGTACGTCTCTTTATACAGCTATCTTTCCAATTTATACAAAGTTACTTAGTTTTTCGGGGAAAATGCTTTAAAATTCATAACTACTACTATCTACGTAGACAGGGTTCTGTAGGGCACACCAAGTCAGAAGGACGAGGTTCTAACCAATTTGACCAGTGTAGGGAGTGAGGTCTAAATGACCTGTTAATGATGAAACAACGGAACTCCCAAATTATATTCCATCTAACTAATAAAAGTAGTTACTTGATTGTTAACTAACAATCTGTGCCGGTCCCTTAAGTTGTTTTAGCATAAACCTATTAGTGCTGACCCTACTCCGGCGCCTACTAATCCGTATAAATGGTTTCCAAATAGAATTAAAACTAAAGCGATTAACTTCTACCCTGTATTCTATGTATAGTGTTACTGACAGACACTTTACAGCCTACTGGAGTCTTTGTTCTTTAATTTAGTCAACCCTTAAATGATGGGTTTTAAACTGTTAGTTTTTATAATTGTTAAGTTAGTAACAAATAGACGAAAATAGCCCAAAGGTGTCGGTGTCGGGCAACTGATTCAAGAGTTAGTGGTTCGATCCCTGTGTCAACCGCTGGGTTGCGGTAAAACGTAATTTTAGTATCTAATGTGTATAGGGTAAATCGACTAGTTACTGGCCACTNTCGAATTTCTGCGGAAATACACCGTATTTGTAATGTTATAGAATAATGAAATGAAATGTATAGAATAATTTAGTTATTGGCCGGTCTGGCCAATAAACAAAAATAAATACAAATTGTCATTCAGTTACTGGCCACCCCTCAAAACTGAGGTTTTATTAGATTAACTCTAAATATGATACTGTAATATTGAAACTTACCGTTTAAAAAACACAATAGCACTGCAAACCACTGCAAAACACTGAAAACTACTCCATATTACTATTTTTTAAATAAATCCGTCCGTTAACAAATACATTACATAAATACTTCTCCGAGGGCGTCCGGGTACCAACTGTTAAAAAAATGCTGCTAGAATTGGCACTATGGTCAATAACGGGAAAAAAATGAACTAAAATGAAACCTGATTAATAAAGCAGTTCTTTATAAAAAATACAGATGGCCCGACCTGCCCCGTTTCTTATTTTGTGCCGACAAAGTGCAGTATGGCCAATAACTGACGTTGGCCAATAACTGGGTAGTTTACCCTACTAATCTAATATGAAGGACTTTTTTGCATGAAAGTAATCAAATGCGTCGGGGTTTATAAATGTCTTTTGTAGCGACTTACAATTCATAATCGTACCCATCACTTACTTATTTGCAATAAACCATCATAATTGATTACACTCGCTTTACCTGTTACCATAAATAACAGCAAATAATTAACCTAAGGTAAGCCTCCCCACCCGAAACTGGGTCATAGGGGGCCAATGTCTTTTTAACAATCCACGTTCGAATCGGTGGCATTATTATGATTTATGTCAACGGCACACAAGTGGCTGGCGAAATGCCAGCAGCCTTTGAACGGGTTAACATTTAGGCGAAAGGGCCGAGCTCAGCGCTTCGATTTTGT